CTTGTGATTTTGCAGATATATCGCTGGAACTGAGGATTTTAGAATGCGTTATCTGTACCTTGCCAAAGTTGTAGACAAGATATGTTGTTTACGTGCAACACGCATAAGATTACAATAACTCAAAATAATTCGGGCAAAACCGGTATTTTGTTAAAAGGAAGACTGGTTAATAGAAATTGGTCGTTTTGAGTGATATAATCGTGTGGCGTCATCGATCCGTGTCGTTGAACAATGAAAAAATTTGTTGTGAAATTAGCGAAGATAAAATAGCATTTTGTGAAAAAACTGCTGGTTTACGGTGCGGGAAGTTTTCGTATTCGAACTCAGCGTGCTTGAAAGTGTTAGTTCCCGTAAAAATATTTCAGTTCCAAGACATGCTTAATGAAAGTGAACGATATCAGGACGCCGCAAACGGCCGAATAAAGATAAAGGGTAATATAGCTTTTCGTTTTATCTCAAAACAACCACAACAGTCTGTTTCATCCAACCACTTGATGATTGCTATACGGACTAACCGTTACATAACGTTACACGAGTGGAATCGTAAACGTGGGAATTTTATATATATATATATTTATATATATATATATATATATATATATATATATATATATATATATATATATATATATATATATATATATATATATATATATATATATATATATATATATATATATATATATATATATATATATATATATTACGTTACATAACGCTAACACGGATGATTTTCGATCTGATAATTTGCGGGAATTATGAAAAGGTACCATCATATCAGATTTGCGTGACATAATGCAAAGTATCTTCTATTATATATAATAGAAGATAGATAGAAAAAATTTATTTAATCACGCTAACCCAGGCAACCGAAGCTGATTTCCACGAGGGGCGTGCGAAAAAGTATACAGAAAGTAATTTAAAAAACTATTTACAAAATTACAGTATATAAGATATATAGTATTATATGAAATAACAAAATTAACTATAAGTAATAATCTATTTACAGGTATATAGATTTCTATATTTTCAATTAGGTATCAATCTAAGTAATAATTTTAATCAATCAATGTGAGTAGCGATTTTCTTTCGAAAGGAAGAAAAGGATTTGCTCTCTCTAATTTCTTTAGGAATAGAATTCCAAAGGTGTGCTCCGTCATACATGAAACTGTTTTTCATATTATTAGTACGCTTTTGTGGTAACCAAAGACCACTTGAAGACTTTAGTAAGGCGTTCGATACTGTAAATCATGAAATTTTGATAAGAAAATTGGAGTATTATGGCGTAAAAGGTATAGCTCTTAATTGGTTCATATCGTATCTTGAAAATCGTCAACAAACTGTTACAGTTAACAATGTAACTTCGAACACAACAACAGTTTCCTGTGGTATTCCACAAGGATCAGTTCTTGGACCAGTACTATTTCTGCTTTATATTAACGACTTTCATCTTTCTTCATCCCTTTTTGATTTTCACTTATTTGCTGATGATGCTAATTTGCTAATTTTGGCACTCCCGTCATAAACAGTCTAATCGTGCAACAATTACTGCTATTTATTAGCAGAAAACCAGAACCATGGCGTATTGTCTTGTTTCTATAGCTTCTCTTCCGTGTAATGCACAGCAATTCCATTAGTATATATTTGACAATTTCGATTCCCCACTATATCTTCACACTTCAAACAAACTATTAAAAGCAGCCGGGGAGACCATTATCGGCTCCTTAAGTCAAATTTTTAATCTATCTATCGACACTGGAATTTTGCCAGACGATTTGAAACACACTAAGGTAACCCCTCTTTACAAATCAGGGGACAAGATGGATTGCGATAATTACAGACCTATCTCAGTAACATCAGCAGTAGCAAAAATTTTTGAAAAGCTGGTCTCTAGGCAACTAAATAATTTTTTAGAATTTCACCAGATAGTATCCACAAATCAATCTGGATTTCGCACTCAACACTCCACAGAGACTGCACTCTTACATTCTGTAAATCAATGTCTTGTAAATATGGACCAGGGCCTTATTAATGGTCTACTGTTTCTTGATCTCAAAAAAGCATTTGACACTGTGGACCACAACATACTCATTTCAAAATTAGAGCTTTACGGAGTACGAGGGAAAGCATTACAATGGTTTATTTCATATCTGAGAGGGAGAAAGCAAGTTTGCAAAATTAATCACGAAATATCAGATAGAGCTACAATTACTTGCGGAGTCCCTCAGGGTTCAAATCTAGGACCACTGCTTTTCTTACTTTACATCAATGACTTACCAAATTGCTTAAGGTCTACAAAAGCATCAATGTTTGCAGATGACACTAATATATCCTGTGACGGAAAATTAGCAACTGACATTCAACAAAAAATTAACTCTTCTTGGCTATTAGCTAACAAACTAACTTTAAGTGCTGAGAAAACAGAATATATGGTTGTTGGTTCGAGACAAAGGCTTAATCAAATAAATTCAGATCGACTTGAACAGTGTTCATAATTGGCTATTAGCTAACAAACTAACTTTAAGTGCTGAGAAAACAGAATATATGGTTGTTGGTTCGAGACAAAGGCTTAATCAAATAAATTCAGATCCTGACATATTAATAGGAGATCATATGATAAAGAGAGTTTCTAACAAAAAATTCCTAGGAGTGGTTCTTGACGAACAACTTAATTGGCATAACCATATAGATAATCAATGTGCAAAAATTTCAAAAAACATTGCACTTTTGAGAAGAGCAAAAAGTTTTCTGACAGAAAATGCCCTTATTACAATGTACAATTCACTAGTCCTACCACATTTCACTTACTGCTCAACAGTTTGGCACAACGGAAATATCACCCACATTGACAAATTAAGTAAATTACAAAAAAGAGCAGCACGTGTTATCACTAACTCAGGGTATGAAATAAGATCAACAGAGATCTTAAATAGATTGAATTGGGAGCCCATTGCAAATATCCTCGAACAACGTGAACAAACAATGACATTTAAAGCAATTAACAAAATGACACCAAAATATTTAACAGAAATGTTTACTATGTCCCAGAACGATAATTATGCATTGAGAAGTAACGAACGAAAACTTCACTTATCAAAACCAAACACTAACTTCCTTAAGAAAAGTTTTTCCTACCGCGCAGCAGTGTCATGGAATAAACTTCCAAACGAAATTCTCGAGGAACATGAGCATCTTTCATTGAATCAGTTCAAAAGGCTTATTAAAAATTGCTAAGATAGCGAAATTTTCCCGAAATTTTATCGAATGTTTACTTGCATTGTAAGGTCGTTTGCATGTTATACTTCAATTTGAATTAATGTTAGTGTGTTATACTTTAGGTTTAGATTTAGTTTTATATCTTTTTAATAGTTTTAGACCACGGCCCTTTGAAAAACAGGCAACTGAAAGGTTACCGTGGATAAATATGTTTAAATAATAATAAAAAAATAATAATAATACTTTATTGGGGTAATTTACGCATTAATTAACATTCCCCTTTTTGAATACATCGTGAACAGCTCTACCATTATTCTGGTCGACGTTTCATATAAGAGTCCCCACATGCCCTGGCCTACCCACACCCCCAGTACGACCCTACCCCAACCTCGCGTTTTTGTGACGTCATTGAAAACTCTTGTATGAAAATAAACTTCACCCTTTATTAGCTCTCCTTAAACAATTCCAGGTGAAGTTGATATAAAGGTCCTCAAATGACATCACAATAGAGGTGGGGTGGGTGTAGGGTAGGGATCAGGATAGAGTTGGGGTCATTTGGAGACTATTCCATATATGACTCTTCTATTAAATTTTAGCCAAGCCCTGGTTGAAACACTAATCAAAACCCTTATTCGAACCTGGAGACTATTCCATATATGACTCTTCTATCAAATTTCAGCCACGCCCTGGTTGAAACACTAATCAAAACCCTTATTCGAACTATAATCCAAATCCAATTCAATTGGCATGCACGATTGCAACTGGATCTTTTTGAATAATCAGTATCTATAGTAGTCTTCTAGATCAAGTCTTTTTTCCAGTTTAAATTCATTTCCAATCGTGCAGAATAGACATACAGAGTTTAGATCACAGAATAAGGGTTTAGATTAATAAATATCAGCATTGACAATTTGACAATAATTTCCGGGTTTTCCCCGCGTAGCTAATTTTAATACAAAAGCGTACCACGTTTACCTCGCTGCATCGATCGAAATCTTTTTGAATTAAATCCACTTGTGATGTTCATGAACACAGAAAAATCGCTTAACTACAATGATTTAAAGGCTTGTGTAAAAATACGGAACAACAGCGCATTTTACAAGTGACTGGAAGCTCTGACGTCTCAACTCCGCTATAATTGAAGCTAAACAAAATAGCCAATTTTATCAAATTTCAGAGGCTGTCGAGTCTTCAAATCGCGGTCAGTAGCAAGTTTTATTGTGGATATGGGTACTTCAAACTTCCCTTTTTTTAACCATATTAGTCACTGAATCCAGTTAGGTGCCACTTTTGAGAAATTTAAAGTCGAATTTGATATGCGTACAAAGTCGTATTTGCACACGGTGCTTGTTATCGCTAAAGTTTGCCATAATCTTTCTGTAAAAGTATCATAAAACAAGGTAAGTTTCAAAGTAGAATAATTTTCACGTTGGTGGGTCAAAAAATCATAACATTTGGTTGAATACTTTTAAAATTATATGTATTTGAATTCGGCTAATTTTTATTCCTGATTTAGGCAGAGGATTTTCTGCCCAACGGCGCGGGACCGAAAAGTCGCTGAAATTTTAAAAATTAATAAAATTTCAAAATTCCAAATAGTGTTTGTTTGTTCTTGGGGTAAATACATTTCATTGTGAAAGTAACGAAGAATTTCATTTTATGAGCCGAGAGTCATTGGTCGGTTCTTAGAGAGACAGCCTCTTAAGATGTCATGATAAAGAAGTGGTATTAAACAATCTTAAAAAATTCAAAATAGTAATAATTTAACATGTGCACGACTCTACCAATTCGTCCAGCAAGTCTATGTATGGCTGTTTCCTTTTCTGCTTTATACTTGAAGTGTCAAGTTCGTAGTGCTTGCAGATTTCCTGTAACATTGCTATAGAAAACTTTGAAAGCTTGGACGCGGTGGCCATTTCGCATATGTTATAGGATTCGTATGTGATTCGGTGTTGGATAGAAATATCATTCAATATTTCTTCACGCATTTGCTGAAGCTCTTTCTCTGCCATGGCGGAGACCAAGTCATCAAGGTCATCGTCATCATCGAGGTCAAGATTCGAAGCTGATGTAACTTGAATCGATTTCTTGGCGGCTGTACGGGAAAAGAAGCTGGTAATCTGCTGTGATGTCATGTATTCATTAGACAGGAAAAGAAGAGAACCATCTGCATTGCGCGCTTTTCTCATTGATTTTGAGACATCACTAGCATCTGCTTTTTGCCCTGTCTGCTCGCCAAGAAGAAATATGTCGATGAGGTACTTTTTTTGCTTCTCATTGAAACGGTGTCGACTTGTGGAAACACGTTTTAGCGCCCATCCCATCTTTATCGAAGGCACCTTTGATTCTTCAGCAATCTCCTCGACTTGCCTACTATGGATGCAGCCCCACTTTCTAAATTTTCAGCATAGCGTAGCATTGCTTTATCAAGGAATGACTCCCTCTCGAGGGCGTACTTGTGCCTGCCTCCATCCAGATGCTTCCGGAGGGATGAAAACCGTTGGAAGGTTTTCACACATCCATCTTCTGGACAGGTGAAAAGCGTATCCTCGTCTGTGTCTCTGCTGTCGTCATCGGCGGATGTCTTCGTGTCTTTGTCTTTGGCGACATGACATTTCCTTGGCGTGACTTCACAGAATACAAGATTAGTGCTGGGGACATCGGTAATCTTGGTAAGCGATGGAAGTTCAGTCTTCTTCGTTTGAGTGAAATTGCTATAGGGAACGCTTTTACCATGTCCAACGTCATAAGCTCTCCAAACCTTCATCTCCTCGGTCTTGAATTGGATGTCATTGATAAGGCTAACACCTTCCCATTTTGGAAAAGGACTTGGGTCAGGGATGGTTAGAGGACCACACAGTATAGTCGCAACACCACGTACACCGCCATTGGACTCTATAGCTGATTTCATGTCTTGTGCAGACGAGATGTCATGGCCAGAGTTGAGGTATGAACGCATATGATTCTTTATAGAAGCAGATTTGCGATCACATGGTCCCTTCCCGCCTTGAGGATCAGAAAAATCCATTCGCACGCACACATTGTGCTTTACGGCGAGTTGATGTATCCCAAGTATGGTAGCAGCGCTGTGGTAGCAACCAGCGTTGTCCTGTCTGAAGCTCACAGATTTCAACCCAGGTATTGCAGTCTTTAGCTTTTCGATTACATCATCGATGACGGCCAACACATACAGACTGTCTTGGTTACTTTTCTGAAACACGTGGACAAGAGTCAGCGTCTGCAAGGTTTTTCCAGGAGGCTTTTTCATTGCCACACTAATTTGCCAGGAGAGGCCTCTCTTACCAAACCAGTCCGCCTGGCTCTCTCTGTACTTTCTTGGGATGAACTTCATTGCCCAATCTAGCACCACCAATACACAGCTGTCATCTACTGCTTTCAGGATGTCAAGGCGGGCCTCATCTTGATTGATGAAGCGTAATATGTGTGCTTTCCAGGCTTCTATGTTCTTCTTTGACTGCGCCACCACAAACTTCATTTCTTCTTTGTCTTCGTGAGGAATCCTAGCCTTTTCCACCTGTAACTCTAATTCTTGGACAACAGCAGGAAACAGGTTGCACCTATCACAAACTAGATCGTGCTGATGATTACACGTGGTGGTAAAATTGGAATCGTTAGCAAGACTGAGGGCATAAGGTCTACAATGATCAGGGACCCTTGAAGTTGATGACACATGAACCTGAAAAAAACACAAACATCACATAATTAATGTATCAGCTATAACAATTCATCGTACATAAACTACGGCGTTTTGATGAAAGCGCTAGGACGCGGCGCCCATTGTTAAGGACATCTAAGTTCATTTTTCATTAACTTGATTGGGAGAAAGAAAAGAAAAGGAACGAAACGAAACATGTAATCATTTTCTCAAGGCATTTCGTCTAATAAAAAATTCTTTAAAAGGTCACTGACCTTGTAATCACTTTTAAAGTAACGCATAGTTTCAGCTTTCTAATCTGCTCCTTGGACCATGTCAGACCAAGTTCATAGACGTCACCTAGCTTATCTACGACTGTAACCATGTCTTGGCAGTTTCAGCTTTCTAATCTGCTCCTTGGACCATGTCAGACCAAGTTCATAGACGTCACCTAGCTTATCTACGACTGTAACCATGTCATCAAATGCTTTGCCACCTTCTGCTGAGAAGTAGTCGAGGCCTTGAAGAGAGGTGCGGGTAGATGCAGAACAAACGTCTAGTATCCTGCAAAGGCTACTACGGCTCAAAGGGGAACTAAATCCGGTCTCCGCACAGTAGCTCTGATACTGCTGAATTATCTGTTCTGGTATGGAGTTTCTTATGACGTTTGGGATCTTTATTTCAGTGGTAGAGAGCTTTAAGGTTTTCTCCCCAAAGGGCAAATCTTGTATTACCCTTGCACTGGTAATGAAAGCCAAAAAGTGGTCGAGCTTCTCTGGAGGTACTTTAATTCTGACGTGTTTCTGGGGAGAAATGTCAGCGCCTCTGCCATGTAGCAACAGGTGGTGTCTTGCAATGCTATATCGATAGCGAGTTATATCTGGAATCCATTGTTGAACAGTTTTGAAGCTGACCTTATCGGCAAAGATGGAGAGAATTTGTCTGCGACTGCTCCAATGGCTGGCATTCTCGTAGCATGCTGTTAAAGCTTCTAACAGCATGCAATCCGTGTCATCATTTTCATCTAGTTGCCTTTCTTTTATTGCTCTGAACAGCATCTCAGAATTATTGGGTGCAATTTCTTCAAGGGTAACGAAGACAACCTGTCTGGCTTTCCGTAAATAGTGCCTTTTGGTTCGTCCTGCAGCTTCTTCCCATGGTGTCATCATTGAGGTTCGAATTGGACTTACATCTCTTGCAGCAAGAAAGCAGTTTAGCTTACCCTTTGGAGTAGATGTAGATGGTTCCTCATCATATTCGCTGGTCATTGACAGGTCGAAGGCTTGGGATATAGCAGAAGGTGAGAATAGCGTTGACGGCACAGTGCTCATTGGGGTAACTGGGATATGTTGATGCTGCAGGGTTTTGAATGGATTTTCAGGAGAGTCATCCTACAAATTAATTTTAATCATGTAAGTGACCATGCCCCCTGATATACTCTACATCTAATATTATTTTATTCTCTCTATCACCAGACGATTTTACTCTTCCAGGGGAGAGGCTAGTGAGTGTCCCTCAATGGGCTAACCAAGCAGTCTGCCAATGCTGCATTCCTTACAACCCTTTAATTGGCAATGTGCCACAGTGTTTGATTTAATTTGCTTTCCATGGCTAAGGAAAAACCTCATTAGGTTTTAACACCATAACCTATATACTACCTGTAATGTTGCTGTCTTTAGTTGTGCTTCCAACTTCGCAAGTGCTGTGGTGGGAATAGTTGGTCTAATCGTCTTCATTTTACCTCGGCATGTCCTGCATATTCCTAGTAAAGTAAACAAAACATATGCACATGAAATGAATGAACTGACGCACCCAACTAATACAAACAATAATAATACAAACAATTACCGGAACCAGCTTGAATAAACACACCAGTCTTTTGTAGTACTGTTTCAGAATCTTGTTTCCCAAGTCCCCTGTCTCCCTTTGGCCATATTTTTCTACTTCCTTTCCCGTGGTTAGATAACGCAGCTGGTATTCTACATCTAGTTGATCCCCTTGTCCATCCCAATCCAAGTTTTGCACGATGCTGTGGACATATTGTCATGTTGTCAAAAGAGTTTGGCATTTTAAAAATTGCCGCTCGACACAATATCAGGTCTATCTCGTTTTGTGGACCAGAAAACGAGAAGGATGCTAGATGGTTCGCAATATCTTTTGTACATGATGTCAGAGGAACAACTTGCACTTCGTGTTTTCTATCTTTGACTGTCAGAACCACAGATTCCTCCTACTAATGACTTGAATGAACAGCAAACCTCCATTTAAGTTAGACTATTGAACTGATACCCATGCCCTATCTCGACTGTCAGAACCACAGATTCCTCCTACTAATGACTTGAATGAACAGCAAACCTCCATTTAAGTTAGACTATTGAACTGATACCCATGCGCGTCGTTGGGAGGGCCAAAATACATGTAGAAAGTCAATCAATTACATGCCCTTAAAATCTATGAAAAAGTTCTGAATAAAAGCAAAAAAATAGTATATGCAAGGAAACAGCGGCCATTTATTTTTAAAAAATCTATGTTGATCATCATGGGCTTCCTGTGGCGATTGTGTTGAAATTTAAAACTTGTAAACATGGTCTCCGATCTATAGGAAGTTATACCAGAAGCGTAACTCTAGTCGTTTCCCTTATTGTTTGACGTCCACGAAAATTTTAACTCGCTCACGTCAGGCCACGCCATCCTGGCTAGTACAGCCGGAAGTTTTTATCAGGATTTGGTAGGTACAAAGTGCCGGTTGTACTAGCCAGGATGGCGTGATTGATGACGAATCGCTTGTAAAAACGCGGACAAATATTTGCTCGAGTTACGCTTCTGGTATAACTTCCTATTCTGTGACATGGTTAACATGCCCTCGGGGACTACATCTATAAAACCAAGCCGAGAAGTTCATAAAACGCAATTTTTACATCAAAACAGGTATGGATTGCACACAATTTACATTATTAATACTTTCTACACTTTTTTCAAACCGTTTCATCGACTTATAAATCAAAATAAACGGTATTTCGTCCTAGTGTCTTTTGACCTGAAAGGTCGCAGGAGTACAATTTCACCACAATTTGATAGCCTGAAACGTCACACACAAACATTTGCCCAAAGATTCCTTTCCATCAGATGAAAGACCTTTATTTCAACATTCATTCGCCGGAGTTTCGAATTATTTAAAGATAGAGCACATTCTCTATAAGACTTTTTATAAGACCCATTTTTATCGATACAAAATATGGGCTTCGAGAATAAAATTGTTTGGAAAGTATAAAATCGCGTGATTGTCCCCAAACTTGCCTAAATGATAGTCAAGTGATTATTTAACTAGGATTAGGAATTATATTTGATGCGGGGTGCTCTAATTGTCCATAGAAGCCCACCAAAGTGGGGCTAAAAATCACCCGTCCGAACGGCATTTTCGGCGGTGTTCGATAATTTGCATATTTCTTCAGAATACAATAATATTTAACCAAACCAACTATACAGTTGTTCTTAGGAAACATTACCCTTCCAGACTTGAAAGTATGAGAGAAATGGAATTCTTCAAAGTTTGCCATGAATTTTGAATTTTGCTTGATTTTTACGGACAGTCACTCTTAAAAGTTATCAAGCTGTGTGATCTTGTTACACTGCATATTGCAGTTTTTATGTTTAAATTTCACAATCAAATGTTACCTTCTGCGTTCAGTTCCTTTCTTACTTCCGTTGAAACAATCCATAATTACAATGCACGATCAACCATAGGCGTACGGGACGGAGGGGGCAGGGGGGGGGGCAGCTGCCCCCCCCCAAAAGATTACAAAGTCGAAAAGTCGGGCAAATGTTCAACAAAAGTCGGGCAAAAGTCGGGGAAAAAGTAGTCAAAGCAATAAAATCTCTCGTAATAATAACCCCAGTTTGTTGGGCAAACCAAGCCAGTTGAGCAATATTCGCTTCACAGTCGGGCAATATTGGGTTATTATAAAAATAAATGGGATAAATTCCGCCAATTTTGCAGGAAATTATGTAAATTTTGTGATGTTTGGGAAAATTTGTTTGATATTTGTTTGATTTGGTATGTCCGAAAAATTTTTGGACCCCTAAAATAGTACACTGACCGAAATTTTTTTGGGGACGGGGGGGGTCGCCAAAACTTATTGTTCCGGAAAAAAATATTTTCGGGCACTGGTCGGGCAAATTTCTTTCTGCCCCCTAATTTTTTCCTTCCCGTACGCCTATGCGATCAACTGCAAATCAATCTTATTATCTCCCCAAAGCAAGGGCAAATTATGGTAAATTTAATATTAGGTTTCAAGGGCCTAAAGTCTGGAACTCGTTTGGTTTATATTTTAAATCTGTCACTTACATGAAATTTAAAAAAAATTTAAGAAAATAATTTTTAAGTAAATATTGATAATTTTTGTTTTTCAATAAGATTCAATATTAAGACTGATTTCTGCTCCTCGTTTCATTTTTTATCATAATGAAAACTATGGTGGAACTTGTATTAGTGTATGTGTAAATATAGTATAGTTTTGTGTTTGTGTGTATAATGAGTACTATATATCTTCGACCCGTAATGTAACTTAATTTATGTTTCCTGGCTTCCTAACTTTTTTAGCTTTTTAGTTATTTTATAATTAGGAAGCCAGTACCTCTACACTTTTAAATATCAAACTTTTATTCCATATAGGGCATAGAGCTCTAATTTTGTCAATAATATTTGATGATCAACAGTATCAAATGCTTTTTTCAAGTCTATTAAGACTACTAGGTTAAACATTTTACGGTCTAAATTCATATACCAATCATTTGTACAGTCCAGTAATGCTGTAGCTGAGTGAAATTTACGAGTTTATAATACTCGAGAAATTTAGTGCTTATAATACTCCTAGCTATCTAAATTCACTCTTAGCGCGAAATTCAGACAGGCATAGTAGGAATATTAGAATGTTAGGGTTTGTAATCCAAGTGATTATATACATTTTAAGACCTAGGTCTTAAAATGTATATAATCACTTGGATTACAAACCCTAACATTCTAATATTAATTCCACCAAGTGAAGTGCAAGAATCCAAATCTTTATAGTAGGAATACACGTTATTCGAATTTGAATATGCTATGTCCAATTTACAATCGTAAAACAGAAGGAGGCAGAACCTTCACTGTGAGAACAATTTATTATAGACTGGAACAAATTTTATAAAATAACATGTATATAACGAGTGTTCTGATTGGTCGAAAGCCGTGTTTGGATCAGGCCATCCAAACACGGAAGACTATCGTGTTGTTGTTACTTTATAAAACAATTACTTTATGGTTTCCGTGTTTGGATGGACTGATCCAGACACTTGGGAATGTTGCTCGAGTTAAGAAAAGCGGGCAAAATCACTCGCCTTCGGCTCGTGAATTCGCTCGCTTTTCTTAACTCTCGCAACAGTCCCGCGTGTTTGGATCAGGCCATCCAAACACTGAAACCATAAAGTAATTGTATAAGATTTGAACGTTAGAAGTATACATTCTGCTTTTAGTTTTAGGCGTAGTATTTATAAACAGTTTTTAGATGATCAAAAATGTGCAAACAGGTTGCAGCGTTAGGGTCGTGTTTTAATAACTTTAACTTTAAATAGGGACTGTGTTCTAATATCTTAAATTTTGTAAATTTTGAGGGCCACAAGTTTATCAGTTTCTTACTAGAGAGTTTTAGATTCACGTTTACGGCAAACGTCAAACCGCTAACGAAGTTTTTGATTTTACAAGTCTATTATAACAGCTTTTACACCAGTTTTGAAATATAAACAATTATTAAACTTGTGCTCTTTAGCAATGATTTAAAAGAAAGCAAATTAACTACTAGTCACGTATTCGCGAAAGCAGTAAATTATGATTTGGCATTTGAAGTTTACGTTTGGCGTATAAATTTCATGCTTTAACGACTATACAAGCCCTCAGCAGTTCAAGCATGAAATTTATACGCCAAACGTAAACTTCAAACTCAAAATCATAATTTACTGCTTTCGCGAATACGTGTCTAGTGGTTAATTTGCTTTCTTTTAAATCATTGCTAAAGAGCACAAGTTTAATAATTGTTTATATTTCAAAACTGGTGTAAAAGCTGTTATAATAGACTTGTAAAATCAAAAACTTCGTTAGCGGTTTGACGTTTGCCGTAAACGTGAATCTAAAACTCTCTACTGTCACGTGTTTACCCTCAGTAAATAAAGCCTTTCACTTCACTTCACTCAGAAGTCCAAATTTGGTTAAATAGTTGATCATATAGAATTCGCTCCATAATTTTGCTAATGACAGGCAAAACTGAAATTGGTCTGTAATTTCCTGGCAGGTTTCGTTGGCCGTTTTTATAGAGAGGTATTACTCTAGCCGTTTTCCATTCGTGAGGGAAAAGGGATAGGGTAATAGCCTGATTGAAAATGTATGTGAGTGAATATGAAATAGCAGGTGCAGCTATTTTAATAATTTTACTAGATATCTTATCAACACCAGTGGCTTTGTTGCTAGAAAGACCATGCAAGAGATGGTAGACATTACTCACAGTGACTGGCTGGAATGCACTGAATTCTGATTTAGCCTTTTCAACATATGTTTGAAATTTCAAATTTGGAGTATCAATTTTGCTAGCTAGATCAGGGCCAATATTTGAAAAATAATCATTAAAGCCCTCTGCAATATCTTTGGTATTTGTTAAACGTTCTTCACCTAACTTTAACTCATTTACTACTGTTGGTTTGCTTTGCCTACCTAGTATATTGTTTATAGTTTTCCAAGCTTCTTTAGGATTGCATTTTCGACCAGAAATTTTAGGGGAGTAATAATATTTTTTTTCATTTCTTAGCTGAATATTAACTTTGTTTCTTGTTGTTTTGTAATTTAACCAGCCTATTTCTAGGTTTGTAGTAATGGCCTTTCTTTTAAATCTATCCCTTGTAATTATGAGTTGCTTTATAGCACTTGTAATCCAAGGAACTTTTTTTGTTCTAATCTTTTTATGTTGAAGTGGTGCATGGTTATCTAAGACCTCTAAGAATAACGTTTTCCAAATTGCCCACATAGCGTTAGGATCTTCAGCAAAGAAATAGACATTTTCCCAGGGTTGTCGCCTCAGATCCTCAACAAATTTTTGATGATCAATTTTTTTCAAGTTTCTTATCTCAACTTTCTTTTCTTGTTTTTTAACAACAGAAATTTTCCTTATTGCAAATATTAAACTATGGTCACTTAATCCAGTATGGATAACACCAGAGTCAGAATTTTTTTCTGGTTTATTGGTTACTAGCTATATGATCAATGAGGCTAGAGCTTGTCATAGTTACTCGGGTAGCTTCATCAATCAATTGTGAAAATTGATATAACTCATACAATGTTTTGATTTTCTTTGTTGGAACACTCGAATCTTCGTCTGTTTTAAGCATATCACAGTTTAGATCACCCAGAATATACATTTCTTTATTTTCATCATCAACAGCTTTGATTAATTTTTCAAAATGATCAAATAATTTAGATGGTGTATTGGGTGGTCTATAAACTGTTGTAACAAGAAATGGTCTGCTATGCGGCTTAATAATTTCTATACAAACAGCCTCTAGTTCAGGGGAAATTAGATCTTGTGTTATAAATAAATGTAGTTGATAGAGCTACGCAAGTAGATACAAACTCCACCCCCATTTCTTGACCTGTCTTTTCTAACAATATCATAATCGTTCAGGTGAATCATACCATTAGTTACACTTGGATCGAGGCGTGTTTCATTGAAAGCAATAAGATCAATGAATTTGTTTGACATTGAATACCTTATTTCATCATTTTTTGGGCAGACTAACAATGTTAAGAAAAGCCATTTTAAAACCTCTTTCGTTTGGAATGGAATTTAGGCTAGTGAAAAAGTCGCTACTCGCATTGTGTGAGGAACTATGACTACTTAATGATTTAATGCTTGATTTACATACTGTAGATACATTGTCCATTCTCTGTTCCGATGTCCATAGGCTTGACGAAAAAACTGCTTATCATTACCTACTGGTTTTTGTATATTACCAGTAGGTCTTACCCTAACTGATTTTAAATATGTGCAGTAAGCACTACCTAGCACTCTATCACCGAGTTGGTTCAAGTGCAAGTTAAGCTGATTTAGGAATGACGTATCTATATGGTCATTATTTAAAAATGTAATATTACGATTTGAGCATAAATTGTTAACTAAGTTGTTAAAATGTGTTATATTGCTAGCTGGAACTCGGTTATCATACCTGCAATCTTCTTGGCGTGGTCTTTCAGGTTTTCGATAAGCTCGTCCATTTTGGCAGCCACTTTTTCGGGATCTTCGGAAACGAGGTTATTTGTTCCCACATGAAGGACAACTGTGTCCTACTGCTCACCTTCTGACCAATATTCTTTTATCTTGTTGCTGATTTGTTCCACTCTTGCACCACTGTAAGAGTGGACTGAGCTAGATTCAACCGAGCAGAAGAGCGAAAACATCAACAGCCAGATCAATAACTATAGGACAAAGGAACGATCGAAGTTCGAAAATCAAAAGAAGACCTAAACGCACAAGCAGAAGGGAAAGAAGAAGACTGGAGATGAAACGCAGAAGAAGAAAAAAATTAACAAAGTCTTGGCGATCGGCGACTCAATGGTCAAGCACATTGATCGACAGAAAATTGAACGGGCTGAAGGTTGCCAGTCAGGCGATGATATGTTTTCACCACTTAAATTTCATCATTTAATATATCAAACCGGTTTTGTAATTTGGTTGCAGGCATTTTCGTTGTACTTTCGGAAGCATTGGCCGTTGGTGAGCTTTCTTTTTCTGCTATTTTAGTCCATTCGTTTTGTTTTATGTCCAGAATATTTTTTATGCTTTCGTTGTCATTGACAAGATCAGATACTGTTGCTTTTAGAGATTCAATCTCCGCTGCCATTTTGTACTTTTCCTCGTGCAAAGATGTTATCTTTCCGTCTGATTCTACCGCTCGTATAATGGCATTTTCATGATCTTTCTCTTGATTGGATTTAATTTCAGTTATTATCATCATTATTTTTCCCGAGCCAACGGCGCAGAGCGCCATTCCGGGCGTAAGCCCTGGGCGAGGGTACTAATTCCGTCCGGCTATTTACACCCGGGGAGAGGAACGCACTAGCGAAGTCTAAAGTTCATCAAATATCGCAGGCATGTGACTATGGTTCATGGGTGGACCTCCTCACTGATCTAAAAAATATGACTGTTTGCCAGGAGTGGGATAAACAAGATTTCAATTTTAAAAAGCATATATTTGGAAAATCACGTTTCATACAATGAGCTTTGAAGCAATTTTTGTTTCAAGAAATAAGAACAATTTATTTACTATGGGAATCGTGAAATATAGTGCAAGTTTGCTTGGAATGTTTAATGTTTGTGAATTTTGTTGCTTTTATAAATAATTTCTTGCGTATTAAAAGTACATACTGCTTTCCTTTTCAGTCAAGCTGTAAGTTTCCTAAATTACCAGGGTTTTTTCAGGATTTTCTCTTGGGTCCGTTTTTGCAGAGAAGATTGAGTTTAGCTGAACAGCTAGGATTCTGGGGCGGCTGTCCCCCCTTGCCCACTTCAGTGTAGTTGAGATGCAATGTGTTAAAGCAGAGGCACTAAGGGACACTATAAACTGGTTAAAGACGGCGAATGCGTTGTTTTTCTTGTGTTGTGAAATGAATCCAGCCATATTTTTCTTAATTTTCGGCTTTTCAACTGAAAACTAATTTGCACACGTTATGAATTTAACTCAAACAACTTCATTTTACTGCACAGAATCTTTTGATGAGAAGATTGAGTTTCAAAACTCAATTCAAGATTGAGTTTTTGGGGCCGTTTCACGGCCCTGAAAAAAACCCTGATTACAATTAGTCTAGGACCTGTATATGAGTTTGTATGCATTTCATTTAGGACAGATAATCTCAACTGTTTTAGGGCAAGTTGACCATGACGGTCAACATGGTAACGCTGCCCGAACCCCAATCCGGGACGAAACGTCCGAAACTGACCACACCCAAAAACGACGCTTTCGCCATACTGCTATCTACCAAACCATAAAAGCTTTGGCTATCACGCTGGGCACGAAAGGCTGTAAAAACGCCGGGTTTAGCTTGTTGCCGTTACTCTCAGCCAGTGGTTTCTCCTATGGCGCTTCTGTATACTTCATGTAATTTTTCACGTAATAATTCAATATGGCGGAAACATTTGGAGTGGAAGAAGCTGTTGAGTGTATTTTTAGGGCAGATGAGTCAGGCGAGGAACAAAAAAGTGATGCAGACATCGGATGCCGGGAACAAATAAGCAAATCTGAACCAAACGGAATTGGAATAGAAAAAATTCTTCAAACTACCTATATAAACGCGGCTTGTGTACTTAAACACGAGTCCCAACTGTGGCTGGCCGCTATCCACAGACGGCTCGCTGGGAGAAGAAGTGTGAGACATCCATATTATGCAGAATTTTATCGCGACATTCCAGTTGACCTTTTTACTGCACTGTCTCACTCCATCAAAGTTTCAAACGATCCAAAATTAGGGGAACCTATGTGCTATATTAAAGGAAACAGCAAAGGTGAAGTGGTTTCTTTAACAGACATCCAGTCCCTAATCTATTTGCTAACATTGTTGTCTGGCAAGCAGCAAGAAGATGTGGCCTTTTATTTGAAAAGAACGCTCGGGGGAGCACGGAAAAATCACAAAACAAAGGTTTTAGTCTCCCAAGAAAAAGATTTTGGACTTATTTATAGTTACAAGAAAGGGCAGTTGACAATATGTTTTAATTATGGTGAATGGAACTCCTTTGGATTTCCCCAACATAACTGCAATTTAAATATTTAAATTTTGTACTTTAGCAAACTGATATTTATATTTAGCTAGTGAAGTCACTATATGGCATCGTTAAAGTTTTTTTTCTTTGTTGTAATCAAATAATATCACAATTAAAACAAAAAATATAAAAGCAGGGATTTTGCACCCCTACCTGCAATCTCTAGCACCTAGTGTTATATCCAGCACAAACATATTAGCATCATACTTATGTTAATAGAAATTTCTATGATTTATGACACTATGGACAGCCGCTAAGATACCCCTGTGCACAACTGATACACAGGCAGAATATGGACTGGAGCTGTTTAAAAATTAAAATATCTAAAATGCCATTCCAATTCATATTTCATATTCACATTGATATTGAAAGTAGATGGCAGAATTTGCCAGTTGTCAGCTTCTAATAATACCCCTGGATCTATTGGTACAGCTGTGGCAAAACTTTCTATGACAACAAGTTGTGCTAACCAACTTTTTACCATGGGTAGTTTCTCCACTGACACCCTCTCTCATTTTGCCAAAGAAGCTAGATTAAGAATCCTCAACCGTGTGGGTCTAGCGAATTGTTATTCAGTTGTCGCTCAGTGAATCACTGTTCAATTGGCATTAAGAATCCTCAACCGTGTGGGTCTAGCGAATTGTTATTCAGTTGTCGCTCAGTGAATCACTGCTCAATACTTTGTTCCCTATATTTTTTTGCTCTGGACTACTTCACAGATTATACAGGTACAATTAAAAAATATATGATCAATTTATTTCAAGTACCAATAAATATAATAAATATAATACATTAAAAATAATGCATTGTAATATATTAAAATATTAAAAGAGATATAAAAATATTTTTTGAATAAAATGCAGCCGTGTGCAGGGGGAGGAAACTCTAAGATATACATTAAAAATAATGCATTGTAATATATTAAAATATTAAAAGAGATATAAAAATATCTTTGAATAAAATGCAGCCGTGTGCAGGCCGAGGAAACTCTAAGATGCTATCATAATAAGGGCAAAAAGCATTTGCTTTCCATCAATATCACTTTTTAAATTACAATAACAAATCCTTTCCAGAAACCCCAAATCCTTATTATTTATTAAAAGTCATAGATAAACATGAAATACTGAAACACGCCGTATTTCACCAACGTAAAGGCTTGTGCCAGCATGAGGAATGTATGAGGTGCAAATTTTAGCATACACGCACTCACTGCTTTAGGCAAGATGTGTAACTTAAAAGATACAAAGTACAATGCAAATGTTGTAGAATTTCTGATGCCGAACATAACTTTCGACCCAAAATATATCATATTTAACCCCCAACATGAATATCTCCAATACTTTATACACCCAACATGAATATCTCCAATACTTTATACATGTCTTGCAACCAACAACATCTTGCAACCAACAACATGCAACCAACAACATGCAATGTACATGGCCTATTTTTTTAAAAAACCCTTAACCTTATCCATCATTTTTTTCCTCAATTTATGCAACAACATGCAATCTACATGGCCTATTTTTTTAAAAAACCCTTAACCTTATCCATCATTTTTTTCCTCAATTTATGGTTACAAAACCTGCAACTGGCAGACTGAACCTGTTTTTCGCACCCACAATTGCAAAATTTAGAATCTTCAGTGGCACGCTTAGGGATATACATATAACGCGAACAGCATTCGGATGCTGGTTTTTCAAAATTGTAGCCCTTTTCCCTCAACCACACAAGCGAAACATACTCATGTTGAAAAATTTGCTCCCACCTGGCCTTAAAATTGGTGTTTTTGCTGTATCTTGAGATGGATATATGTTTTGACTCCCTCCCCTCCATCGAATTAAGACCAAGTCCTTTACCATACTTCACTTTCATATCTCTAGCATGCTCAGGAACAATGTTTCCCAATGTCCATGCAGTAGGGTGGTGGTCAAAATACAGATAATGTAGGACAAAATATGACAGTTTTTCTCCAAATCATCTAACTGTGAATCGGTTATATCGATTCGACTGAACACAGAAACACAATCTCGACAGTTTTTCTCCAAATCATCTAACTGTGAATCGGTTACATCGATTCGACTGAACACAGAAACACAATCCCGCAGGGTTAAACACAAGTAAGCAAGTACATGAAATGTAAACAATGCCTTAGTTTTATCTTTCAAAAATGGTTCCATAGCAGCAATTAGAAACATGAAGTTCTGCAAAAAGCACCGAGAATCTTTTCCGGTGAATCTATAATCAAACTTGCTATCTCGGTTTTCATTGAACCACCTAATAATTTTGTTTGCAAGTCTTCTAAGATTGCACTTAGTTCTCATTGCATCAATATATTTGTGAAATGGCGAAGTGCTGGGAACCTGCAAAAATGATTTTATTGCACTGGGTAATTGAGAAATCAGTAATACCTCTTGTAGAAGTAGCCTGTGGGCTAGTGCACATGCATTATTTTTTAGGTGCAAAGGATCAATATGGATCCTATCAACCATTGGGCCTAGGAGTGGTTTAAATTCTTGCCTACTTCTTTTGCCGGCTATGAAATTAGTTACTTTGGATCGCTTAGTACTTTCTGCTATATTTTGCTTTGCGACAGTCTGCTTGAACGTTTCAACACTTTTGGCTACTTGTACCCTTTCCGAATAATTCCACGGATGCCATTTTTTGTCTTTTTCCTTGCCAAACTGGCCGTTTAAATCAGTGGCATCTTTGCTAGAAACATTGGCAAATGAGCAAAAATATGTGGCACTATTAGTCAACTCACCGCACAAAAATGCAACCATCTTCAAATCGTTAGGGAATTCCGAGATATGAAATTTGATATCAACTGTACATGTCTGGCTTTCTGATGTAATGTATGTGCATTTAAAAGTTTGCTGTTCAAGGTGTTGTACATCAGACACTAGCATCTTAATATAACGTTGAACTGGAATGCAATTTTCTGAACAATTAGCACCGAATAACAAAAAGTTTTCATTGCTACTCAAAATTCCTCGGCCAATGTTCAAAAATCCAACCAACCACGCACATGCAGTATCATGTTTCCCAAAAGGCGCCCCATCACCACCCAGGGAAACATAAAACTTGTATTCTTCCTCAAACCACACAAGTGTGTGACCACTACAACCGCTTAAATAAAATTCTGCCAACTTTATGAACAATTCTGCCAAATTCCTATAACAACCATGTACTTTGTATTCCTCATCAAGACCTTCACAAAGTGTTTCATATACACTATACATAGATCCTACTGGTATAGACTTCCAGGCATTAATTTGTTATATGGCACAAGCCTAGGGATGGGACAATTATTGACGGATAGCCGAACACGTTTTTTACCCTTAATAAAAGGCATTAATTTGTTATATGGCACAAGCCTAGGGATGGGACAATTATTGACGGATAGCCGAACACGTTTTTTACCCTTACTTTGCATAGCAATCTTGTAGCTGGAATCTTTGTATATTTTTCTATACTTTTTTTTTCTGGCTACACCACCGCTATAATATACTGAAACGCTGCGAATCATGTTTTCAGTGGAAGACTCAAATTCTCCTAACTTAGGCTTGTAAATACTAGGCATAACTGATTGATTAACCCCCCGGACATTACATCTACTAAAATACTCTGACTACACTTAACCAATGCTGTGTCCACAATCCCTATTGCTCCTGGTACTTTTGATTAACCGACATTACATCTACTAAAATACTCTGACTACACTTAACCAATGCTGTGTCCACAATCCCTATTGCTCCCGGTACTTCTGTTTCTTCACTTCCACCATGAATTTTTTGAGCTGCAGCAAATGTTTCTTTTCTTCTCTGTCTCTGTACAGATAAACTAGATGAGAATTTCTTATTTTGAAACCTTGTAGGATGTTTCTTTCTACTCTCCACTGCTCTATCTGATAGAATGCTACACTGGGTAAACCTGGACTTCTCTGGCAAGCTATCAACCTCATCTTCCAAATTGGAAATCTACAGTACATATAAGTAATAAAAATAAGCTGTATATTCAATACACAACATATCATCTGCAGAAAAAACCTGTAAATGTAAATGCTCTGTGACTGTACCTATAAAATTATACATTACGACTGCTCATGTTGCATATTATAATGCCCTTTAAAACTATACAATAAGTAAACAAGAATATACTAATGAAGTCCATACCTTGGCATCCATGCGTCTCTTTCGTTCTTGTAAACCTCGTAATAGTTTATCTTTCCTCTGTAGCTCCATTTCTAACTGAGAAACTTCTGCTTGAGCGTCTCTAAGGTTTCTCTTTGTCATGAAACCCGCATTGCGCACTTCTTTGCACTTTTTCATATATTCCCCAACTTTAAAATGTGGCATCCCGTGCGTAGTTCATATGCCAAGTAAAAGTCTCTCAAATCACATGTTGGCATTCAAATATCAATAAACAAAAAAGAAGGCGACAAAATATTGGTATTGAACCATCTCTCCACGAAGATTCGATGCAAATCAATAAACTATGTCAAAAATAAAACAAGGCAGAAAATGCCGTTTATATCAGGCACGCATTATCGCCTATATTTTGTAGATTTTCATCGATCAAAAGCAACGGCACTCGTCTGAGCAATGTCGCCATGCTGGATATCAAAATGAACGTTGAGAAAGACGCTTTACGGCGGCACACACCGAAACATAAACGAATCAAACCGATCGTCTTACGAACGGCCAAAACATTGCTATCGAGCATGATCGCTATTTCTTACCTATTCTCCCAAAAACATGGCGCGGCCAAGATGGCGGAACGTCACGAAATTGCCAGGCATTTTTGGCGCCATTCGTGCCCAGCGTGTCTGTTTCAGCATCTTGACTTACATTCTGAATCATTTCAAAGAATCGAGAGACTACTTGTCGTAGTTTAGTGACAAATTAAACAAGTAACGCCATGAATGTTAACAGTGCCCGGATGGAGCTGTTCAGCCAGAAAAGCCAAGCTGTTGACAAGATACCACCAACTTAGAATGCACTACTCCAGCACACTAGGAGGGGGGCAGTATACCAGGCTGGCATCTGGATAACATCCATGATATCTCAACAAACGAATCCATGTCCAACTGCATATGCGCGGGTGAAAGTTGGGAACTCATGGGAACCTGTCTGGTCTACCATTCCAGAGGTGTCTAAAGCGTGCAGAGAATTCTTGAAATGTGGCTGCAAAAGGATCTGTACAGTCTGCAGATGCAGCAAGGCAAATCTGCCTTGCATATCTCTTTTGTCGGTGCACATGTTCATCTAAATAGGATACATCGACTGTGAACTGTCTGGTAGAGATACATTGTATTGAAACATTGTAGATATAATTCCTGAATACTACTAGTAGTATGTCCTTAACATGTAGGCTGATATGTAGCTATAGAAGTCACAATAACCATTCGAAATCAGGCAAAGTAAACCTTTTTCGGACATTATCTTTGTTCATTTCCGATTTTCACACCACATATACGAAATTTTCTTTTTTTGCCGGCCATTTTGAAATTTGGCTGCCATCTTGGAAACTGGTGGCCTGAGCAACATTCCATGACCAGCATCTGTTTCATTGACCCCGGAAACCCCTAAATTGGCACCTCATTTGTTCATTTATGATTTTTACAGTCAGATATATGACATTTCCTTTTTTCTGGTGGCCATCTTGGATTTTGGCCGCCATCTTTGAAAATCGGAACCAATCAAGTGGGTTCCACGGATAAAATCAATAGATAGGTCGAAAAGAAACTCCATGCCAAATTTGGTACTTTTGTCCGGCCGGTAATGTTAATCCTCAAAATTGTTGTTAAGCCACCTGACTATTAAAATCATCCAGGTGAGTACTCATGACAATATCTTGCCTTACACAACAAACAAACAAATCGCGGTGTTATAAGTACATGTGAACGAAGAGTAATCCTCTGAACCATTTCCATAAGTGAACATTTGCTGTCATCACGCAAAATTTCCTCGATTTGAAGATGTAATTTGCCATCAAACGGTAAACTATAGGTATCAGTTAGAAAAATCATAAAATAACCGTTTCAAAAACGAAGTCTATAAAAATATCTATCTTGTTTAAAGGGTCTTATACACAAACTCCAAAACTCATACTCCCGATACCAATACGGTCGTACAGGCGGATCGTATATAACTGCTACATATCGAATATCCTGATACAAATAATCTCCATAGTACCAATTGAAATAATTCGGATGGTCAAAATAACGCAAACCTATTATATTATTAATTAGTACCCTTATGGATTAAGAGCTATTTTGTAGTTCAGCAGTGTCTGTAAAATTTCATCTTGTCTCACCTCATTTCTTTTTGGAGTGATACTGATTTAGTATCAAATTAGATATAAAGTTATCGTGACTCCGTGGATATATCGTTTGTGGTGCTTTTCTGTAAATTTACGCTTATATTTGGGAATTTGTTACCGTGGTCGTCTGTCGTGTCGCAGTGTTTGTCATGAACATATCGTGAATTTGGCTTGTTGCTCAATATCTTGTATTTTGCTTATTGGATTTATTTCAATTTTATACCTGTGTACAACGTACTTTGTGTCTGTTATCGTATCGGGTTATTGGTGGTATAAAGTTATATACAATTAAAATAATACGCTTTTTTTTTTGACCGTTGGGAATTTTTTAAATAACTTAATTTGTGTTGTTCGTCATGGCAACATCTCTATCAACCTGAAATTAACCTCGCTTCACTTAAAGTCAAGTTTCAACATTAAAATCGTGTTTGCCTGCTCCTTCGTAACATTTTGAATTGATTATTGCTGTTTGTGGTGTAGTTTTTCGTGATTTTTCCTGCTCTACCGACCCTACATATAGTAATGTGCTGTGACGCCATCTAGTGACCTTTGACTTTTGTCGAACTTCTCTGGTTCCATTCTGGGGATTTCCCTACAAAGTTGGTGGATGTGTATATTTGGGATGCCATATAAAGAGCGGTAAGCGACTGATTATATTTGCGGATTATATTTGATTATCAGTCTTCGTATATCGGACTGATTATATTTGTGTGATGCGCATCTTATTTCATTTGGTGAGCTCTGTGCTTTTCCTTTGGATTCTCTTTGCTGAATTTCATTCCATTTGTGGTTCATGTCAAGATAACTTCAGCTCTAAATTCATCAAAAGTAACTGTTGTCATTTGTTTGATCGTGAAATCTTGACAGAATTCAATTATGCAGAAAAGTCGAACCCTACATCTAATGTGTCTTACATACTTGCCGAGTACAAGATAACTAACATCAAGTCTACAAGACGAATTAAATATGTCGCTTCAAGATTTCGATACTACGCCAATACTGACGCATCTTTTTAATGTTGAACGAAATCCTGGTCCCCAAATGATCTCAAGAAGACAAACCACGTGTGACCATTGAGAGAAGACTGTGAGGAAAAACCAAACAAGTGTAAGCTGCAATGTGTGCTTTGGGTCATACCATGCGAAATGTGCAAGTACAAAGCATGTGTATGCCAATGTGAACTGGACATGCGGGAAATGTCTGTTATCTGTACTTCCTTTCCATACTTGTTCTAATGAGCAGATGATGCAAGAAGAAGCTGTTGATGTACAAGAACAAACAGTGAAACAATTCACACAGGACACGGTCCGTATTCTAAAAGAGCAGTCAAAACAGCTGAGACTTGTGCATCTGAACACTCAATCTATGACGTCAATGAATTTCTCTCCGTAGTGAACCAATATCCTATGGATGTAATAACCCTTAGTGAGACTTGGCTGAAGAATAACCCAGCCCTCCTTGAGTATACAGCAATACCTGGGTACTCTGCAGTGTCTCGCAATAGAGAGTCTATCAAAGGTGGAGGAGTAGGAGCATATATTAGTGAGACAATCAACTTCAAGCGACGATCTGACATTGAAAGTCTTCAACCTGATCTTGAACATTTATGGCTTGAACTTCCGGGACGAAATAAGCACAGCAAGGCGCTAATTGGAGTGATCTACAGGTCGACACGGATGTTATGTGAAGCAGACTGGATGGATCGTCTTGAAGCTCTCATTGGCTACCTCACTGTCAGTTGGGATGGTTTACTTGTCTTGACTGGAGATGTGAATATTGATATGCTAAAACCGCTTGATAGTCGGACTGTGAAATATCAGAGCATACTTGATGTCTTCAGACTAAAGCAAATTGTAACAAAACCAACTCGTATAACTTGTACTTCAAAAACGCTATTAGACCACATTGTAAATCTCCCACAAAACATCACTTACACCGATATCATACCTTGTTTGATAGTATGTGACCACGATGCTCCTTTCGCGTGTATCAACATACGTGTCCCCAGATTCCAGCCTCGCTTCAAGTACATACGCAATGAAAGGCATTTCAATGCAAGCGCCTTCAAGGAAGACTTCTCTTCCCTGCCATTGAACATTGTATACGGACTAGAGTCTCCTGATGATATGGTCGACATCATGAACTCCTTAATCAAGGAATGTATAGATCGTCATGCCCCTCTCAGGAAAGTCAAGGTTACACATCCTCCAGCACCGTGGTTGCAGACAGATGAGATTCGTCACTTACAAACTGAGCGAGACAGGCTAAGACGAGATTTCAAAAGGATGGTAGTACGGAAACCTGGATATTGTTCAGAGCAATACGGAACAAAATCAAAACGGTTATTGGTAAAGCAAGAAGGTCATTCTTAGCCAAAGCCCTCTCATCAAAGCATCCGAAACAAGTGTGGAAAGTAATACATCGTATCCTTCATCCTAACCCCAAGCCACTTCACGACGATCCCGAGAAATTGAACAAATATTTCATTTCCACAGCTACAAGAACTCTGGGTACCGAACCAGACGATTTACAGGATCTTTTAAACCTTGTACAGTCACTACCCGAACAGACTAAACACTCAAGCTTTACACTAAACAATGTGCACCGATTTGAAATTGTTAAAGAAATTTCTCGGCTACGTTCAGACACTTCAACAGGCTTCGATCAGATTCCCGTAAAGTTTATAAAGCACGTAAGTAATGACCTCGCTGGTCCTCTCACATACATAATCAACACCTGCATCGATTCCTCGATATTTCCCAGAACTTGGAAAACGGCTCGGGTTTCTCCCATCCGCAAGATCAACAATCCCACGTGTGAGAAAGACTATCGTCCAATATCGATATTACCTGCCCTATCAAAGATCTTTGAACACTTGGTGAACAATCAAATAGTAACGTATATCGATGAGCAAGGGTTATTAGCATCAGGCATTTCAGGATATCGTAGGGGTCATTCTACTACAACAGTTCTGTTGAGAATCAGAGATGACGTAATAAAAGCAATGAAACGAGGAGAAGTTACAATGATGGTTTGCGCTGACTATTCTAATCAATCAATATTTTTTTATTTAGCTCCTGGAAATTTACATATAACTTCTCTTCATTATTAATATATGACATAATATAAAGGTGCAAGCTAACTGTAATAACCTTGTAGGGTTAGAGGAGACAGTTAGCTTGTAATTTATTAATTCGAGTGGTGAGAGAATACTTTTATATAATGTAGATATGCGAAATTGTCCACTTATCATCAACCTTTTTCATACAAGTAGCCCTATTTGAGAGAAATTCACACATATATCTAAGGCGTTTGATACAGTTCAGTTCCAATCAGTGTTAATGAAAATGCATGGGATGGGATTTTCCAAAAAATTCCTTCGATGGGTATTGAACTATCTTTGCGAGTGACAACAATTTGTTCAAATCGACTATGCGTCTTCTGAGTTAGCCACTGTAGAGTTTGGTGTACCTCAAGGCTCTATCTTAGGTCCAATTCTGTTCAATTTGTACGTTGCCGACCTTCACGAAAAGCTAAAGTGTCTGTGTTACCAGTATGCAGATGATACCACATTCTATCAACATACCAAGGTGGCTGATTTAGAACACTGTGCCACCCAAATGAACAATACTATTTCCAGACTAGGATAATACTCTAACGAATCCAATTTGGCCTTGAATGGGAAGAAAACAAAGTGGTTACTGTTATCAACCAGGCAAATGTCAAGACTTCACAGATTACACGGTGCTGCTGTTCAACTGACATGTAACGGAGAAACCTTGGAACGGGTGCAAAGCATAAAACTTCTTGGGGTTACTATGGATGAACACTTTACTTGGATCGAACATGTTAAGGCACTCCTCTCTTCATGTTATGGAGTTTTGTCTGTGCTGAGGAAGTTACGCAACTTAGTGCCATTCCACGTTCGAAAACAGCTAGGAGAAAGCCTGATCTTATTGAAATTGGACTATTCGTGTGTTGTGTTTCACCCACTACAACTATACCAACAGAAGCAACTACAGAAAGTCCAAAACGTATGCGCAAGTTTCGTATTAGGACGTTACGTACGAGAAGCAGATTCTCTACAATTGGGTGGCTCCCAGTAGCTGAGCGAAGACAGTTTCAAGTGCTTCTATCTGCATTTAAAGCTTTGTACTTTAATAATTGGCCTGAATATATTAAGGTAGATCAGTATGTACCAGGACGAACTCTACGATCATCATCACAAATCCAACTTGAAGTGCCAACCGAAAGTGGAACATTTCAGGACAGTGCTGCAGCTGCATTTAACTCTCTGGCAGATAGTTTGCAAAATTGCAAAGATTTCAACTTTTTTAGAACAAGTGTGAAAGTCTATCTCACAGACTTGGCCCATGAGAGGCTCGGGCCGGGGTATAAATGACTATGTTTTGTTACATCTGTTTTATGAAATATGTACTGTGACTGTGTGAATGTACTGTATAGATTTATTAACTCTTCATAGCTACTCATTGTAAATATAGTACTTGTTAATATAGATTAATTAATTTAGTGATAGAAGAGCCAATTCAATTTGGAATCGCTAATAAATCATTATTATTATTATTATATCATCGACAAGTTTCTCCAAAGCTTCATCAAACTCTTTATGTTGACAACAACATGTCATGGTCACGTACTAAACTGTATTAAATATACCTTTTTTATATAGAAAAATGCAAAGTTGGGCTATGACGACAAACTAATCGTCAAGAGGGTCTCAAAAGAAGAATTTCAAACTGGAATAGAAAACAATAAAGATCAAAAAACAAAATACTTTACTGTAGAAGATATTTAATATGCTGTAAAACAATCAATAAACCAATATACATTCGCATATCTATTACCACATCTCTTTCATAATAATCTTCGTACATAGCGTACAATCTAGACAGTACAAGTTCATTAGCACAATACATGTTATAATCCTTGAGACCGTATTCTAGTTCGGGAAGTCCGTAAAAAATAAGTATATCTATATACAAATCCTCTGCAAAGAAATGTGTACAATCTTTCATAACGAGCAAAGCATCACACATCCACTCTTCATATTTAATCTTTTGAACATGTTTCTTATGAAGTTCATGTTGAGTCAAATACATCAACATCTGATCAAATAATTCATGTTGCTCTACACGTGTACGTCCAGTCCAATTCCTGGGAAAATACTTGGCAACATCATCCTCTTTGGTCATGATCATCAACACAAAATATTTTCTCAACCACACACTCGCTCGTCTGTGAAAAAGCTTTACGTTTCTGACCGGCAACTTGCTGTACACTTTTCTTTGAATATGCAAAACCGTGGCCGATCACAGTCAATTTATTGATGAATTGACCAGTATGCATTAAAGAAGACAGTTTTTCATTAGTCATTAATACATTCCAAAATGCTAACACATATTTTCTCTCGCATAAAACACGTCCTCAAAGGGCAAACCCTTCTCTCAACGTTGGTGGCGTAATTAAACGTAAAGCATTCTTGAACGACTCTTGATCAACTTCTACCCTTCACACTATCGTTTCGCCTATGCTAAACTCTAACAAAACAACCATCATTACCGAGAGTAAGCCCAAACTACAGCACATAAACACACTCCAAGCCATTCTTTAGAAAAATCTATTTCGACTTCCAACACCCCATTCTCATATTTTACATTACATTTCATGTTTGTAAAAAAATTTTATTATTTCAATATTTGTCACTTCCTTTAATACACATACACTATTGATTAGCAAGAAGTCAATTGCCAAATTTGGTAATCGACTTCTTAAAAAAACACTATGTTTCCACTTGCATCTTTGGAATTTTCCTCCTTCATAAATATCGAGCTGCCTGGCTGTTTTTTCACGGGTTTCTTGTCACCAAACAAACCAGAACCTAGAAAAAACCCACAAAATGGACGATGAAAAAAGAATGATACCTGCCAAACGAAAAATTGTACAAAGCCTAACAAAAAAAGATTGCCTCAACGAACAATGTCGACACTGCAAACACATGGACACGCACAATGTCAAACTACACTATCTTCTACGCTACTGCGAAACTTGTCGTTTACACATATTTCTTAAAGTACAAGAACAACAAGAGTTCGAATTCAACAAGAAAGTGAAATGAATTCAAGCACAAGGTACGCAAGAGTTCATGTTCATCGATATAGCATCCACAACTGGACCCAAATACAAGTACATCCATCTCAACGACGAAATGATATTCGAAAACGAACACGCGAAAATCGACGACGCCATAGCTGAACATTTAAAGACGTGCGGGTGCGAACAAACAATAGGCAAAACGTTACCCTTAGAACTAGAAGATAATCTAAAACTTATATTTGGAGATAACATGGCCGAAGCAATGATTCAAGATTTCATAAGTACAGCAAAATAAAATGTATAAAAAACTTTACCTAGTTTCACATTTTTTTCAATTTTGTCTGTTCCTCAACTCCCTCTTGTTTTCTCTTCTCGCCATGCTTTTTCATAACAGCCAAATTTGTAATAGTAATCAAGATTTACAACAGTTTTCTTCTCGAACTGCTCGTTACGTTTTTGCACATCTGCCAAAATCTCATGCACAAGCATCTTCTTACAATTTGACAAATAACCAAAACCCATGCCAGACTGGGGTCGTTCCAGAACACCCACACATAGAATCAACTGTGCCTGCATTCATCTCATCAATATATCATAGAATGCATCGTCACCACAAATAAAGTCCGGTATCAATTACTGTTTCAACAAAATCTTCTCCAAATCAACAATTTGCCATTCCTCTTTCTCCTTCGGTAAACCAAGCCCACTGTCATTATCTTCTAATTCAAATGATTTACCACACATCCACGAAACAACAACCTCCTCCCACTTTGCTTGCTCCATCACGACTGAAAAAAAGCACGAACATTCAAAAATTTTATACACACACAAAATGACATAAACCAATCAAAAAATTTTTTAATGTCTTCGCAGACATCCGGCACACAGGATCAATTTATGAACGACTGTGACGTCATTCTCCAACCAGAAAATGGCGCGCATTTTCAAATCACACTCAGTTCGGTCGACCAAGGCTTTGGGTTCGGACGTGTGCATCGACCGTCGCTATAGCGACGAGTCGGGTGTGGGGACCAAGAAAAAAATACATCTCATTAAAAACACACTCAACTCTGATTCACCAACATCCAACACACACCCAAAGTCATCTGACCAACAAAATCATATGACCAACAAACACTGCAACCCCTACCGCAACTGTAACCAGTATAGTGTTTCTCGATTATTATTAATAGTAGGTTAGAACAAAAGAGCATATAGCTAGAACATTCAGAAGCAAGGGTCCAAGTCACCTGTGATCTGGTAGAGGTATAGGGGCATGCCAGACCATTACTGTGTTGCTGAAACGTGTCGGCCACATTGCCGCCCACACATCAATACACAGCAGTTAGCTGTGGTGTGCTCATTCCTGAGCCACCACTGTATCTTTGGCGAGAAAAATTGTACAAATTTTATCAAAAACTGATGAGAATGAATGTAAGCATTTGGCACAAATTAGAATATTCAACAATCCCACATACCCCCACCACACCCAACCCCACCCACTTGTCATCGCCTAAACTAGACAGCTATACTCATCTAATTATTAAAGACAAACCTGAACATTGGAGAGTATCCTGTTGTACTGGGACTGGCCAAATTCTGATAGGAAAGAGACTGTAATCCTCTAAGCAATTGAACTTTCATATATGACTCGTGCCCGAAATCAGCCAAGTCAAAACAGCCATCTCGGTTTGGCCACTCTATTGCTCCTGAGAACTCGTCTACGATGTGTATTTCCGCTATTTCGAGCTAAATTTCAAAGAATATAAATATAAAATACACGAGGTCACGAGAACCACTCACCAAGAATATTAAAAGCTACCCTGTGAGCAAAGTCTTCTCGTATTTCTTTTCTCTCGCTTCTACGTGCCATGAAGAAATACGAGAGGACTTTGCTCACAGGGTAATTAAAAGCGAAAGACGTCATCAAATCTTTTATAAATTATTCATCACTTACCTTGAACATTTGAGCCAATCTCTCAGCAGTAACTTGACCTTTCTTTAGCAGTCTATCAGTTCTGTCTTCGCCTTCCCCAAAGGAAAAGTTTAGGTTTTCTTCCTCCATGTTTTACAGTCTTTTAACAACATGTTTATAAAACGTTTATTTTTAGCAGCTATTACCAAGTTTGTAATAAAATTTTATGAAATGGCAACAAATGTGTGCAAAAAGTGTGCGAAAAAACAAGTTCCATCAAGTCACCATAGGTAAAAATCGTATTCATCAGTGTGACAAAGAAAATGAAAATTGAAAATCAAATTTGAAATCCGTTTTCCGTAATTCAAGAAACAGTTGACTCGAATCGATTATTTTCTGGCGTATTTTGTTATTTCGATAACAAGAAACGAAAATCGAATGTAGCATTCCGTTTTTTAATTGCATGAAAAACAAAAAACTAAGATCTAATTTCGTTTTTTAATTACTTGGAAAACGGTTGGCCCTTTCATCAATTTATGATCTGTCCTGTTTTGTTTTCTAGAATAGTTTTCAAAATTGAAAAACGAAAACACGAGTTTCACGACTAATTTTCGTTTTTCAGAGTCTCGAAAAACGAATGGCCTTTAGATACATGTATTATTATTAACCTCTTTACTCAAAGCACTGAAAAACACCATAAAAAAGAAAAACATTTTAAACCTAAATCAGGTAAGACTTTTAGCTCAATTTTCTCATGTTTTTGTTGGAAAAGCAACGGTTTTTAGCCAAAATTATTTTGCGTGCCAATGTAGGCTGCTATAAAATATCAGACAACACGTTCTCTTTTGAATCTGGCTCTGAAAAACAATCGCTTTTTTTAGTTTGAAATAAGCCTTCATAAGGACTATTGTGTAGCAATGTTATCCATATGTTCACATGAAAAAGATAACCTAATATTCAGGTATTCCACATAGTTATAAAAGGGTGAAATAAGAACTTTCATCTTTGGTTGTTTGTCAGACATGAGAAACCACATTAGTGCCATTTTATTGTGCATGCTATTTTATAGAATAAACACCTCAAAACCATAAACGTTTAGTTCACAAAATTACAATGTTTCCCATAGACATTATTAAAAATATCCTAGTGAAGCGATTTTGTGATAAATAAGCGAGCAATGGGCCCAAAACGACGGCTAAATTATGTTTTTGTTAGGACTTCAGTTTCATGGCTTCCCGCAAAGGAAGCCATTTCAGAGAGAAGCGACATTTTGCAAACAACCGTTGTGACCTATTTTGATATCTTTTCCTTCTGATTCAACATGTAGTTACTAGAAAATGAGGTTACATCAACATTACCATCTGCCCTATCGATTTAAAGTTTCATGGGGATATAAAACCCAATACAAAAAGCATTTTAAAAGCTTTAGAACTCAAGTGCGGACTTTTTGAGAATTTGCATGCGGCAATCAAGCGCATTAAATCAATACACTTATTTCAAACCACAATATGTCTGAAACAAGTTGTCTTTTAAGACTAAATTGATGAAAATAGATACAACAGTGATTTTGGAATATCTTACTTATTACATATCCAAATAGGGGCACGTACACACACAGTAATTTAGTCTGGTGTCATTTGAAACATACTTTAGCTAAAATAACAACTTGAACAAGAAGACCAACAATAGGGTCACCAAAACAGTCGAAATTGTGCCCAAATTTGCATAAACAGTTCGTCTAAAAAGATAACTTTAAAAAAACTGTGAGTGTTTGATTGCATATTTGTACTCAAAAATACCCTTTAAAAAATCGTATCTGCTCACTTGTGTTCCATGTTCATCTTTCTTGTGACTTCTATTTTTAATGAAGTTTGGAGAAATCCTCATCTTTTTTGCTGAAAATCTCGCGCATGATTCACAGAAGTACGTCACTACATTCACTTTCCTTTCATGCCAAATTTCCGTTGTAGATCGTTCAAAAACATCTTTTTTTGCTTTTAAAACTTGCTGTGAAATCCTTCTTTGCAACAGTGTTGCCATTATTCATTATTTTTGAAAAACTAAAATTTTAAACTTGAAAAACTTTGCGAGTTTCTGACCGATTTTCTTGCATAATACACCGTTGAAAGGCTCGAAGTTCTATTTTCGTATCCGTTGCTAGGCAACCCGATAAACACATGCTCAAATATCATGCCCGCAAGTTAAGGTGTCATTTGAGGGTGCATTGTCCGTTACCCACTTGTCAATCTCAGGGCACATTGCGTGTTAATGAGTTACTTCACTGGGCGTTTTCTTGTTTCCTTTTTTTTCTATATCTTCGCTTTCTTTGCTTTTGGTTTGAATCTTGAGCTTCTTCTTTCTCTTTACGTTGACAATATTTGTTAAACGATACTGGTGTCCGCAATTGACTTGTTGATGCTGGCGTTGTCACCTTTGTTGATGTTGGGATAACTGTGCAGCCTTGTATCACAATCGACACTGTCAGAAGGCTTTTTGTTGACTGAAGAGTGTTGACCACAAATGTGACAAAATTTTGCATTAATAAGTAGACCGCAAGCAGCCCCTCAAAGAAATGAGGGACCGCTGACAATACATCAAGAAATGAAATACACCCACTTTTCGCTGTTGTCAAATTTTTCCGCCTTAAACATTACTATATGCAATTAAATCTATCCAATAGGAAACCGTTAATGTCATGTTTATTTACAGGGTCTATAAAAAAGATAATCGAACTTCAGCACGCTATTGTACCGGAATTGCTCGGCACATGAACATTTTTTCATATTCGAAGAGATCAGGCTTCTAGCTGTTGAATGACATGTTTTTCATGCCAAGTGGAGAAAAAATAAGCAAGTACGAGTCCGATAAAAAATGTTAGTCAGAATCGCATATGACAATGGTGAAAATTTGCGATTTTGACTAGCATTTTTTATCAGACTCATACTTGCTTATTTTTTATCCATTTGGCATGAAGAACATATTTAACAGCTAAGAGCCTGATCTTTCCAGAGATGAAAAAATCTCGTTCATACACAGTAATTCAGATACAATAGCGCACAGACATTCGATTACTTTTATTTTGGCACACCCTGTATAAAATCGACATTCACTCAGGAGATTATTTATAGCATAATTACTATGTATCAGATTTGACAGGTGTATCGATTTCAACCATGGGAATTTTGCGTTGTGTGGGCAACATGGATTTCATTTCTTAATGTGTTGTTTGCAGTCCCTCCTTTCCTTTCTCATGCCCGGAAATCTAAACCTGCGGAAAGGAGGGACTGCTCACAGTCTAATTAATAAGTAAAGAACAGCTGCATTGACTGCAAAACATTTCCTCAACAAAACAGTAATACAAATACTATAAACTAGTAGAAACATGTGCAATTTCGCCACTGTTTGTGCCTGCGCGCACATGTTTGCACTGTGGTTTGCACCAACATAAAGTTTGCATCTACACTTTTCTAAAGTTTTATACATCCACATTTTGCATGAGTTTGCACTAAGTTTTTTAAAGTTTACATCAACATTTTAGGAGTTCGCAGCCAGTTTTTTTTTAAGTTTGCACCCACTTTTTAAGTTTGCATGTTGCTTGTGGCTGCTTTTCAAGCAACCCCGCTCTGGGGTCGGTTGTTTGAAAGCCGATTTAGCTTAGGGAGTGGTCGTTATTTATGGGGAGGGGGCAAACAAAGTTTTACCCTTATAAATAGGAGGGTTCAAAAAAGTTTTAACCTAGATAAAGGGTTATAATAAGGGACATAATCATGTCTAGAATTCTTATTTCTATAATCAGAAATAGCATTAAACTCGCAAGTCATAATGCAAAGTGGTAAAAAAGACTCTGAAATGATCTAGAGACTCAAAATTTTCAAAATTTCCCCTCTAGGCAGCAACTATGGTGGGAGTTGGCCCACTAAGTTTAACAAGCTTCCTACCCCCTGAGTGACCCATTTGTTGTATTTACATAAACATACCATGCAAGTACTTAACTGATCGGATTCAGTCTATCAAAGCACAATGTAACACTGTTACCAAAAATCTGTTTCAGAAAATGCTCAAATTTCAGTTCTAGGGGCTGAAAACTATACAAAAAAATTTCTGGGGAGAATACCCCCAGACTTCCCTACTCGCACATATGATACCACACCAAACTTTTTGTCACCAACAATTAACCATCTGCCGTCTCTCCACACTCAGTAAAGTATGGTCCCTTTTTGTAGATGCCCCCCCAGACAAGTTCTTAAAAGAAGCCATGTGTTCAAATCATTTCGCTGTATGAAGATGGGTCATGGTAGGTGCACAAACACCCAGCACGGTTGTATGGTATAATATTTTCAATCCTATTACACTTTTCATTAATATTACAATTGCCAAAAATTGCCAAGGCCCAAGCCACAAAATCATACATGTTATGAATACGAACTTGTGTTTTCAAAATGGCTGACCATCGTGAAAATCTCCTGTGGGTTCCTCGCACGGTCCGTCGGAAATAGTGATTTATTAAAAATAAAAAAATTAAAATCCATGCGGCATGAAAAATGGATGCGGGCGCTGATCGCCGATATACACAAGACTGGATAGAGCATCGTAATAGAAGCCCTACACAAAAATTGAAGCAGGAAGTACGTCATGTTTTGAGACCGGCCGCCATGTTGAATGGGCCCCACTTGAGGAGTTAAAGACTATAGTTATAATAAAACATACTCGCTAAGTATGTGAAGAAATCAAGTCAAATCTGGTATTTCAAAAACAAGCACACACCATAGAAGAATGAAGAAGATTTGAATGTTGAAAGGAACTAAATCGCAGGTAAATAATTTGATATTTTCACCCACTGGTTTTGACCGTTGAAATATCAGAGCTGACTGAACGTCAGAACACAGCACTATACTTTGCAGATTACAAAGTAATTATGATTTTCAGTATAAAAATAGTCACTACAGTACTAAAACAATTACTTAAGTTTTAGGTAGGTTTTAAGTGGCATAACATGGTAGGACTAGGTAGGTTTTAAGTGGCATAACATGATCATAATGTACAGTGCCAATCTAATTGTCTAATTGACATTTTATGCCTGGGCTGGCAAATTTGTTTTATTAGACCAACTGCCCAGGGTGCATTCCATGTAAACTACACCAGAGATACGCCAACATATGCAATAGTTAGGGCTTATCTGGCATGTTTTATATACTGTTAACATCATCTTGTAGTTATACTGTGATTATACATACTGTATGACAATTCAGGCACAAACTTACTGTAGTTACACTTATATCACTTCTTTTGAGTGATCTCACAGCAATACACCAGCAATTTTGTAACCTCCGCTGGATATATCTGGCATGGAGTGAATGGAATGTGTACTGCACGTCGCAGTTAAATGTAATATAAACTTTATTTCTAAACTATAAACTATAAAATATAAGTTGAAAGTTGTTATAAACGTGTTTTTTCGATTTGATTCATGAAACCAACAAAAGCGTCTCGTTTGCGCATGTCTGACATATTGTTCGCTATGACAAAAATAGCGGCGACAAATTAACCGTTCACAACACTCCCAGGGTTGATCAATAAAATTGATCAATTAAACTAATACTAAATTAATGTTAACGTTAATCAATGTACGTGTCAACGTCCATCACGAACTAAGTTGTCTTCTTACGAACTACAGCTGCCTTACGTCTCGGTGTCCGTCTTTGTAGTTGGTCGTTATCTTTTATTTCTGTGTTCTGCTGATCCGCACGGCTCTGGACACCGTTGTCATCCGTCGAACTTGCCTTTATTTCGAGGGGTATCAAATGCTGTACTGGTCGCCGTAATGTGATCCGTTTACCGCTTTCACCGTTAACCATAACTTTAGCTGACTGCACTGTACCATCGCTACTGGGAAGCAACATTTCCACTTTAGCCAATTTCCAAAACGTGCGTCGTGTATTGTCATTCCGTAAAATTACCATATCTCCAACTGCTATTTGCACATTGCTGTTTGGTCGAATCGATTTCAACGATTCTCTTAAACTCAACAAGTATTCTGTTCTCCATTGTTTGATAAACTGGTTTAAAACGCGTTGATGGTACTTTGCTCGCTTGGTGAGAGACTGATTTGTGCTGATAATCTCGTAATGCTTGTCATTTGGAGCGCTTGAAATTTGTCGTCCGTAGATCAAATGCGATGGTGTGAGTGCGTACGATATTCCCTGTTCGTCATCATACATAAATGTCAACGGTCTGTTATTAAGGGTGCTTTCAATCTCGATTAGTAGGGTGCGTAGTTCTCCAAAAGATAATGAAGCGCGTCCGATAGCTTTCTTTAGACAACGTTTAACACTTCACACCATCCTCTCCCAGAATCCACCGTGCCATGGAGCTTTCTCAGTAATAAACTCCCATGTTATTCTTCTATTGACAAAATAACGATTTACTTCTTTCGATTCTCCAATCATCCTCACTTCTTTTGATGCCGACTTAAATGTTTTTGCATTATCCGTCAAGACCTTCGTTGGCAGTCCTCTACGACTTGAAAAACGTCTAAACGCTTGAAGAAAGGTAGCTGCTGACATGTTTTCTACTAGTTCTAAATGCATAGCCCTCGTAGATGCACAGGTAAAGAGCGCTATGTATACTTTGTCTTGGTCGTTGCTGTTAATTGCTCCAGACGATTTTTTTACGTAAACTGGACCAGCGAAATCTATACCGGTATTAGAGAAGGGTGGTTCTTCGCTCACTCGACACGCTGGGAGCTGCGGAGCTTTCGGTGTTGGGAAAGGTTTCGCTTCGATCTTTCTGCACACGACACATCTTCTTACTATTCGCTTCACTGCTTCTCTACCTCGTTGGATCCAATATTTCTGACAAATAGAGTTGAGAGTGTCTCGAATGCCATTGTGGTGTACAACTTCGTGCTGCTCTTTGATAAGTAGCTCTGTGAAGTAATGTGTTGCTGGTAGGAGAATCGGCTGTTTGGATTCTTTTTGTTGAGACGAATTTCCAATCCTTCCATCACATCGTATTAAACCATCGTCGTTGCGGAACAAACCCAATTGAGAGACCATGAGTGTCGGAGTTTTTGACACTCCTTTAAGGTAATTTAACTCGTGTTGAAATTCGTGTTCTTGAACGGTCTGGATCCATCGTATGTAATTCTTGCGCCGTCAACTCAGCACTTTCGAATTTGTGTCGAGGATTTCTCCATCTTTTCACATATCTTACTACCGTTGCTGTTACTCGTAACAGTTTCAATTTAGTGCTATATCGATTTATGTCTATTATATCGCCGATATCGAAACTTTCACGATCGTTGTTGATTGATGGATTCGCCATTGAGTACACGATGGTTGGTGAGGTCTTCTTGATTTCAGCTAATGCTTTCTCCTTGTTATCGATGTAGCTTTGTTGTGGCTCTTGAGGCCAGTACTCGGGTGAATGATTCAAAAACTCGGGACCTTTCCACCAACTATGGTTTCTAACTAGTTCCTCTGCAGAACAACCTCTTGAAGGTAGATCGGCTATATTGATCTCTCCCGGACAAAATCTCCATTTCTCTCAGTCGAAAAGTTCCCTGATTTCCTTCACTCTGTTTTGAACAAAAGGCTTCCATGTTTTGTCATTACGAATCCAACACAAGACGGTGTAAGAATCGCTCCACAAGAACACTTCAGGAGGCGTTTTTAGAGAGCTCATCACTTCTTTGACAAGTCTAACTAAAATAGTTGCTCCAAGCAACTCTAAACGAGGTATAGACGGACGCTTTATTGGAGCTACTCGTGTCTTGGACGCCACTAGATTAATTTCAATATTGCCATTTGCGTGTTCCGTCCGAAGATAAACAACTGCTGCAAATGCTTTGTTGGATGCATCAGAGAATCCATGTAACTCGTGCTTCACAGGGGGCTCTTCCTTTCTTGTGAAATAACATCTCGGAACTTTGATGTCTTTCAAGCTGTTTAAGTTATGTACCAATCTTTTCCATTTTTCCAGTAGCTCTCCCTTTAACTCATCGTCCCAGTCCACCTTTGCTAAGCATAACTCTTGAAAGAAGACTTTCATTTTAATTGTGAATGGGGTTAACAGTCAGTCCGATGGGGTCGAAAATTTTGGCAGAGAGCCGAAGGACTGATCGCTTTGTAGCAGGTAACACCGCGGAAAAACGTCTGCGCATGCGTCAACCTTACCTGTAATAGTATTGCGAACTTGATGAGAAGCTGTTCCGAACGTTTCCGAAGGCTCAAAATGGCAGTAAAAAGGAGTGACTTTATTGTGCGTCTTTACAGCCAGATTTTGAGCGCAAAAATAAACATGTCATTCTAAAAACTAGGAATAAATACAGCCAGAAGGTGCAAGAAATTGTATTGTACAAGAACATGAACTAAAGGTGATTGTTGACAAATTTATCATCTGAAACATTTTGTTTATCAACTAAGCAACGACAATTTCCGAATTTTCGTTTGAGATACATTTCTTTAAAAAAAACTGTATTATTTGTAAAAAAACTGTATCTGGATATTATTTGCTTTATAGTTGCTTTCGTGTTGGTTTTCAGCTCTATCTGTTGCTATCTTTTCTTGCAAGTGTTTAGAATTCGTATGCCATTTTCGTAAGGTAAAACCCCCCGAACTCATTAACGTCTGGAATTTCTCGTAGACTTCACCTCCTTCATTATCGTCGAAAGCACCACCAGCGAAGTCATCTACATAAAATGATTTCCACAGCAAGGACACCATTTTGGGTTCCTTTTCTTCATTCACAGCGAGATGGTGCTGCAGTACGGACGTTAGAATGGCAGGACTTGAGACTAG